GCCTTTTCACCAGTCTGTGGGTGGTAAGTCGTTAAAAGTGGTTGGGCGATGTGAGATCTTTTCATCAATTCTTTCGTTAGGTCCCCTACGAAGGCCTTCTCGTTGTCTGACTGAAAGATCGTGGGACAACCGTATCTTGAGAACCAGTGTGTGATTAAGTGGTCGCACGTTTCTTCAGCAGAGACCGTTTGACACGGTACTGCTTCCGCAAGTTTCGTGAAGTGGTCTATCATTACCAGTATCTGATTATATCCTGTTTCTGTCATGCAGACTGTTTGGTGGTCTATCTGCACGACTTCATTGAACTCTGAGCGTTGCACCGACTTAAGTGGGAACTGTTTGAACTGCATGACAGCTCCCTGAAGCGTTTCCTTGATACTGCTATCATTTCGAGTTCTTCTCCTCCATTTGCATCGTCACAGTTTAAGTTGAATGTTCCAGACGAGGGGTCCTTTTTTCATTTCTCTATTCTGATTCGTCCTCTTTGCTTCTGCTAGTATCATGCACTCGTCCGCCTCTTCTGACTCCCCGAACAAATTTTCTCCTGCACACACTTCTTCATTCAACAACCGCTCCCCGGACACGTGATCTGCTCCGAGCTCTTCAGCCTCTTCTTTGAATGGTTTTTTACCTCCTCAGTGTTGTTTAATATTCAACTAGCGAGAAACTGCTGGTCGAAATCTCGGTCTGGAAAAAATCTTCCAACATTTTTCCAATTCAAGCGATGCAGCGAGTCGTCAAAACAATCACTATACCTTATCATATAATTACCAATCCCGACTTGTTTCTTACCTGACCAAAGCTAACTCTCAAATATTAGTCCAATCACCAAAAAAAGGAATCAAAGCAACAATTAACATCTACGGGTCAATATCGCTACTTAACCTCGCATCTAAATTTTTGAAAAATTTTCTTCTTTGGTCTAAATGCCCATTTTGAACCAATTTTCATAACAAATTGAGTTTCGTGCAAGAAAGTAAGATATCAATTTTTTTTCATCGCGGCACTGTTAACTCAGCTAGAAGTTTAAAACAAGAGGTAAATTCATTTGAGCACGGTTTATTGGTTGAAAAGCTAGAAACATTTGATATCCTGCAAAATGATTAAGCTCTTCATATTTATCCTAGGATAAATTCTTATTTATCCTAGTCTTTTCTCGGTTTTTACAAAGTAAATTATCATTCTGTGCCACATCTATATTTGTTAGCGCCGTAATATGGTGTTGATGTTTTTCAGTGGATGGTGTTGGTGTTAGCTCCGTAATATAGCGATGATGTTTTTGGTATGGTGATAATCAATGAGGGTTTTTTCAGGGCTTTCATTTATAAAAGCCATTTTTGAAAGGATTTAAACAAAAGGAACTCTAGGTTCCTGATACCAAGTGTAAAAAATTGTTATTCTAAAGGCGATGATTGATCATCAAAAGGAAGATTTTTAGAGAAGTTCTGGATGCCAAATAACCCCGGTAAAGAGTAAAAGGAATAAAAGTATATTAAAATTTACAGTTTATATTAGAAAGCTAACAATCTTAACTAGAAACCTCCCCTAATTTTGATTAGCTATGAAGAGTTTTAGAAAACTACTCGGCTCAAAGTCAACTCCGATTTTGGTATTTTGCTTCGCAAAACAATTGTTAATCAAATTTTGTCTTTAGCTAACTAGATTTCGGGTTGTTTTGAAATTAAATGATTGCATGGCTAAGATTTCTGGTTTCGCCATGAGTAGTGGTAGCTCAGACTTTTAGGCAAACAATATAGACGTTTTGGCTGTTTTCGGTATCCGTACACCCTCTGATAAGCCTTGTTTTTCTTCTTCGTTGAAACGAAAACTTTCATTCATTTTATCGACGAAAAAAGCTGCAACTTGTGTCAAGTCGCTGTAGAAGTGTCTAGTTATTTCTTTTGTGGCTGTAGAAGTTTTTTGTGCTAGGTCTGTTTTTTTCCCAACTTTCCTCAACGTCCGTTTCATTAACTATGGAGCCAAACATACAGTGAAATCGATATAACAAGTATCAGTTTGAAACGTCCGTTTCAATTTCAATTTTTATATTTCAATTGTTCTTTACATGCAGAAAATTGTTTTTGGCCCCAAACGGGACAAGGCCTACGCTATTTTGATAAACGAAATAAATGTTCTAATAAATATTTTGTTCCATGGGTAGAAAAACGGAGTGTCAAGTAAATAATAACTTTACCAATTGTAGAGTACAACATGTACTACAATAAGAGAACACAATTAATTTGAAAACTTCATTTCTGATTTTAAAAAGGATAATTGTAAAAGCAGCACAGCAACTTCCCACCACACTAATTCGAGAGAAAAAATTCAAATTAAAAAAACTTTTTTGACTTTCTGGTCAAGTTTTTTTTAGAAAGGCACCCAAAATAGATGATAACGCAAAACAGCCTTTTAATCCTCATCACGATTATCACTTTAATATATCCCACTTGACCCTATACAAGCTTTCTGCAGACAAAATTGAGGAAAAAACATACCTAGCACAAAAAAACTTTCCCACTACGTGAAAGGATCGGAACAGAAAAATTATGTTTTGAAATGACAAAAAATGGCTTAACTTATGTTTATTTTCAAACAAAGCAATTCCATTATATCAGGCTTATTTTATGGTACTTTTCTTTATCTTTCTGAAATCAGCTCCTGTGTCAGAACAATATCCAACAATATCAAAACGAATTACATATTTTCTCTGAATAGGAAATTTTGAAAAGTGTGGAGAGGAGATTGCTAGGTAGCAGTGAATGGCTATCTAAAACGCAGCCAACTGAAAGTACGAAAAGAGTTATGAACGCAAGTAAACGGAAAAAAACACTGACTTCGTTGAAAAAAGCTGAAATTTTTGAATTTCGAAGAAAATAGATGCCCCTTCAGCTCTTTGAATTTTTAGAACAATTTATGATGAGCGCATTTTTGAAAAATTAACTCAACTTGAGAAAACTCGATCAATAGGTAAAGTTTTTAGTCCGCTGGAAATCTAAAAATTAAATTCCACTTTCGAAACTAGAAATCGTTCACGTTTTTAGCGCCATTTCCACAATCGTATTTGGAGAGTGCTATTTACGTCACTTTCAGCAGATGAATTTCAATTGAGCTCAAAACGTGCAAATTTACCAAAGTGCATTCACAAATGCATTAATATGTATGAATGCACATCTGTAGTTCTTAGAGAATTTCAAGACCTATACTACGTTCATTACTCTTATAAAAAAGCTTCTAAGGACTGCCTTAATTTGGAAAATTTACAACTCGTAAACATCCAGGTACCCTTTTTACACCAAGTATGCAACTTTCTTGCTTATCATCAAAATTCACTATCCTTCAAAGCTTGTTATCAATAAAGCCAGGATAAAATTTGGTTCATCACCCAGGCGTGGTAACAAAATGCTTCAATCTTTGGGGAAAAAAACGAAGAATTTGACGGGAAATTTGGCAATCAAATTTTCGAAAATCGACTAACAACATGCCAATTTTTATAAATAAACAATTAGCGAGTGGCAACTGACTCGTCAAAACTTGGGTAAATTCACGTAATAACGAAAACAAAATTTTTCTCTAGGAAAACTTTGATCTATGACTTTCTGGTCAAGTTTTTTTAGAAAGGCGCCCAAAATAGATGAAAAACGCAAAACAACCTTTCAATCCTCATCACGATTATCATGGCTTGAACATATCACACTCGACCTTCTACAAGCTTTCATCAAAATTCGCTATCCTTCAAAGCTTGTCATCAATAAAACCAGGGAAAAATTAGGTTCATCACCCAGGCGTGGTAACAAAATGCTTCAATCTTTGGGGGAAAAAACGAAACATTTGACGGGAAATTCGCCAATCAAATTTTCGAAAATCGACTAACAACATGCTAATTTTCATCAATTAAATACTTAGCAAGCGGCAACTGAGCCGTCAAAACTTGGGTAAATTCACGTAAAAGCGAAAACAAAATTGTTCTCGTGGAAAACTTTGACCTATGAGTTCGATTCAAAGAAATTTTTAACCATTTTTGGCTATCTGGGGAGGAGCATAATATTCATGTTTCCAAAAAAAGGTCACTAAGCGGATAAAATATAAGCCGATGTCCTTGGGCCGAATAGTTTTCAAGCAAAAAAAATGGGAAATATATGAAGTCACGGTCAGTTATATTACAAATTGCAGGAGTATATCAAAATACAAAAGCAGCTACTTAGAAAAACGCGTGTAGCAGAAAAAAAACTTTTCTTAACTGTGGCAACTAAGCCGAAAAAACATACGCAGACAAACAGGCCCCAAGGTGCTGTTTAAAACTCCCAACTAAGTGAGCTGGATACTCCAGGAATTTTGAACTAATTGTGAAACAAGTGATTCAATTGATTCCGTTTAATAAGGTGTTAACCCGAAAAAAGTAAACATCGTAATTTGTAACGATTGCTAATCGCAAGCGTAATAACAGACAATAACAAATTAACCTAATTCTACACAGGCGAAGCAGTACCTCACACATGCAAAAAAAACGGTAGAGCTCTGAATTTCAAGAAATTTTTTGGCTGACATTTTTGATTTTACGAAACTAGATCTCTGCCTTATTTCTTTAATTTCACCTAAAATTTCAGTTAAAATGCCTTGTTGAAACCTAAAATATCTTTTAAAAAGAGCATTGGAAGTATAACAGAACCAAACGCTATAGTCTGGTACGCTCTATTTCTTTTTGGGCCGCGTGTTTGAACGACAAAGTCATTATTCGCCTAAATAAGTTGAGATTGAAAGTTGACCTTTGGCTCTACGAAGCTACTTTAAAACGCCGTTAAAAAAAGCTGAACTCGCGTATGACAAAACTGAAATTAAATATTGCACAAGGTTACTATCATATCACAATGAATCAGAAACATACACTTTAACATTGATCGATTTTTGAACTAAGTATTGTATAAACGCGAAAAGCATCAAGCGAAACCTTTTACATTAGTTTGTTCATCATGAGAATAATTCCCACATATAGACAAATCAGTTCATTTTGTGCCAGTTGATCCAAAACCTCCTTCACCTCTCTTAGTTTCGTCAACCGAATCTACTTTTTCAATTGAGGGGTACCAAATTCGTTCACACACTAATTGAGCAATTCGCATGCCTTTCGTGACCAGGAAATCCTCATCGGACAAATTGAACATCACAACTTTGATCTCACCTCGATAGTCTTCGTCAACTACTCCAGCGCCAACATCCAGTGCATGCTTCACGGCCAGACCGGACCTAGGTGCAATACGTCCATAGCAATTTTCTGGTAACATGATTTTGATCCCAGTTGAGACCAACTGCTTTCCTCTTTTTGGTATGGTTACATCAACGGCGCTGAACAAATCGTATCCGGCTGACTTTTCAGAACCCCTCACTGGCATTTGAGCATCTTGGTTCATCAACTCAACCCGGAGTATTGGATTAAACTGAGTAGATTGCGTATCCGTAGATGCCTGAGTCATATCTTGACCATTTGGAACAGTGGTAAGAGGCTCCCGGGTACTTTCAAGGTTTCGCTTCTTGGCAGGTGATTCAACAGCAGCTTGCAATTCAGCGACAGTGGTTGACATTATGGCCTGAAAAAAAACGACCAAAACTTTTATTAATCACCAACTACCATGACTGGAATTAGTGACAAATCCAAGGTACAATTGGAAAAAAACACGACTGATTTTTCTCCGAACAGATTAACTCTGTGAACCTCCTTCTTACTCAAATATTTTAGTTACGCAAACTCATAACTAATCTATTTTGAAAATACTTTCTACTTTAATTATACGAAAGCCTATGGATCTCATGGAGTTAAGGTGTCTTGACATTTTGTTTTCCTCAGTCATAGAGAGCGCAAATCAGAATTTCACTGTGAACTCGAAAATAATGACTGAAAAATTTAAAAATAAAACTGAACAAGACTGCTCGTATATCAAGAAAAAGCACTGATTGTTCTGATTGCCTCTTAGAGCTGAAAATAATCAATATATTAGGAGGGAAAAAATTTTCTTTTAGTTTTGTTTTTCTTTAACCCCTTACATGCTGTGTAAATACAAAAGATGTATTTAGCGTCTTTCAATTTTGCGGCTTTCAATTTGTTCATGCATGCTTTGAACTCACTTTGACGCAGCACATTTTTTAATGATTCCGTATTTTGTTTCAAGGCTAATTATTCTACAAAAAAAATTTGGTCACGACCATTTGAAAAATGGGGAGGAACTTAGTATTCGGGTGTTTCAGTTTTTTCTATTTTTTGTTTTCCAAGCAAAATAGGCTACCACAAATAATCATCTGAGAGAGCTGAGTGATATCTCATACTAAAGCCCATACAGTCGTGATTCGAATGACGTTAAAAATTTCAAAAAAAAAATCCCATCGTCGAGAAAAACCGGTTTGAAATTTTGTTTTTCGTCCTAATTCGAGCGACCAAAGCGAGCGAGCAGGCTTACAATAGCTTACTTTGATAACTTAAAAGCTTACAATAGCTTAATTTAAAACGTATTAACTTATTTTTACTCCAGTAACGTTGGTTTTTTTGAGTATTTAAGCGCTATTTTGGAATCAAAAACTTCAAAAATAAAAAAAAAAACTTAAAACAATTTTTTCTTTGATTTTTTATTGTTTTTCTATTAAAAAATTCTTTTTTCACGTAGGTTACTTCACTAAGACTGTCGAATATGCCTTATCTCTATTTTTTTTTCGTTCAGCTATTTTTTTATCACTTCACGCCGAAAAAAAGGACACCAATTTGACAAAAATTTATTGTTGTATTTTTTAAGACTGTGGTGGTAACATTCCGTGCTACTTGCACAGTAACCGGCTATCTTTGTATCTTTTTGCCGGCATTATGTTCTACGAGGATGTCAAAGTATCTGCGGCCAGTTTCATTTATTATCTGGGACAAGATGGCATTGGACAGGTTGTCATGTTGGGCAAGTTGCAACAGGACAAGTTGGGCAAGTTGCAACAGGACAAGTTGGGACAAGGTGACTTGGGGCAAAGTGACATGTAACGGTATCAACAAGCCAAATTACTGTCTTCATTTCAATTTGAAATGATATAATTGGCCGCTTTGCTTTAACAGGACGAATTATATCGCGCCTTAATTATCCCAGTGCTCAAAATAATCATAAAGAGTTTGGTCTTTTAGCTAAATAGTCGAAACTTGACTTTTAACAAAAAAACCCAGCCGAAGTGTAAAATTTTCGTTATTTTCTTACAAGTCAGAAATTTGAAAAACCTAGTTACAACAGTTACCATATAGTAGAGCATTAAAGCTTTTAATCTAAATAGCTCGTTGCTGTGCGAGTTGTAAGGAATGTTGCTAACTCACCTCTCTTTGCGAAAAAAACCTTTGTCAGTTATTTAGAGCGGTGATGCATAATTATTAAAATTTCAATTAATTCTAAAGCTGTTTTTGTACATATGAACATATTTACATACACACGCGTAGAAAAATATTTTCTGCACGCTCAGAAGCTATTTCAAACTTTTCCTAGTCCAAGTTTTTGAGAAGCTTAATCGTCATCTACGCTCATAGAAGCTGCAAACAATTTTGCTTCTTCTAGTCTAGTCCTACTGCTATTCCTAGCAGAACCAATTCTTGAAGTACCAGGCTGACTGCCTCTTAACTCAGGGGGCAGATGATTTGCCTCAGAGATTCTCGGAGGGTGCAAAGGCAAGGTATCCATCAGTCCTCGAATGGAATCGAATGTCCGAAGAATGTTCCGCTCATTTTCGTCCAAATTAATCGACAAACTGTTGATCTCGTTTTCCAATTGACGAACGGTAATCGCAGTTGAGGCACTAGCCGCCCTCTTGGCATACATTGCCGATTGCTCGTCTTTCGCGGCAAGGTAAGTCCCGTCGACCATTTCCATCTTTGGCAACACCTGCTTCAGTGCTTTTCTGTCTTCATTTGTGAAGTCGACAACACACGGGTTACCTTCAATATAGATTTCTCTGACAGATGGACAGAATTTAAGGTATTCAAAATGCTTCCAGTCTGCAATATTGTTTTTTCTCACGTCCAAGTAGTCTAAATTCGGAAATTGTTTTCGAATGTAATTTAAGTTGGTGAGTAAATTCGTACCCATGTGAAGCTCTGCTAGCTTTTTCAGATCTCCAAGCGGTTTCAATGAGGAAATTTTGTTATTGGTCAGCTTCAAAACTTGCAAATTTACCAGGCATGAAATGCCAGAAGCATCTTCGATTTGGTTGAAAGACAGATCTAACTCTACCAGAGTAACATTGCCACTGCAGTCAACTTTCCTCAGACGATTCCCAATGGCTGAAAGGTCATTCAAAACAGAGGCAAACTTGAGCGCAGAAAGACTTTCAAGAAAGTTGTAACTGATATCCAAACTTTCTAAGTTGCGACAGTAGTTGAAATCTCGTGGCTCAATATGTGTCAAATGATTACTGTCAAGTCGTAGCGACTTGAGCTTTTTCTGGGATGCAAAACCGTCACTAATCGAATTGATTTTATTATGTTGCAAAGATATTGTTTCCAAATTGGTCAGATCAACAAGTCCTGAAACTGACGAAATCATGTTTCCGTACAGCTTCAGATCTTTCAGCGCCGAGTTTGTAAGGTTCTCTATTTTTGTGATGGTGTTACAGGAAAGATCTAGCGCCTTCAAATTGAAAAATTTCTCCATGTGTACAATTTTTGTGATCCCACAAGCATGTAAATTGACTGACTCAACTGCCTTTGTATCTGACTCTCCTGCCTTTTCCAAAATCTCTTCTACCGTTATGTTGGAAACTATCGCCTTAAAATTACTTGTCTTCACTTTTCCGGCCTTCGATATGTGCTCTTGTTTACTGTCGCCTTTTGCCTTGTGTTTGAGCTTGACTGTGTCTGATATATTGGGGACATTTTGGTTCGGAATTGCAGGAACTTTCACAGGAGTTCGAACCATTATAATCCTGATCTGAAATCGAAAACTGATATTTTCTGATAAAACTTCTAAAAACTGAAATTTTGACTGTATCTAACAAATTCTTCCCAAACGTTGAATGTTAAATAAACTATTCAAAAAAAAACAATCTATGATAATAAAGAACTCGACCTCTGCCCACCCCAGTCACTTGCATTCGTAGATTCTCGGCTATGTCGCTTTGGATTGAATTGATTTTACCCAATATATAATCTCAGATATCAGGGCGAATGCAATTTAAACACAGAGGCGAAGATGAGCTTCGCACCTCTTGCGATACAACACAAACAAAAAAAACATAAAAAGTCGAGAAAAAAAAAGAAATACGTTAAAAAATTTAAGGAACCAAACCGATCGTATGCTCAATAAAAGAAAACTAGGAGCCCACTCAATTTGGAAATAGCTGTTTGATATTTTGGTATTTGTTTGATTTATGCGGGATGAAATGGGTAATTTCAAAAATTTGACTTCTCCCGAAACTTAGTTGCTTCTCTACTAAAATAAGTGAGAAGAGCGAATTAAAATTTTCAAAAACTTACTATCTTCCCAAATACATAAAATTTTCCTCACAAAAAAGAGTAGTCGTTTCTGTAGGAAAAATTCTCGCAACCGGATCTTTCGATTGAAACCTTCATCTCAAATTTGATAGGATAGTTTCTATGAAAACCATAAGTTCCTGCAAAACGGTCGAAAGTTCAAAAACTTGACTTTCCGAAATCTTTGTGCAATGAAAAAGTCGTGGCCGCTTAATTATAAAATATTACCAAAACCGGATTTCTCGACTGAACCTGAAAAATTAACCTCAGAATTGGCAGGGTAGTTTTCGAGAAAAGTTTAAAAACTTTCAAAATTAAGAAAAGACTGTTCCGCAAATCTACCTTTTAATTTAAAAAAATTTGGGCAGAGCCAGTTGAGCGGAAGGGATTAGCACAATCTGTTGTTTCGATTGAACGCAAACACTCAAGATTTGAGAGTTTAGTTTTCGGAAAAAAAAACAAATAGTTTCAAAAGACGGTACAAAAACCAAATTTTGACTTTTCCGAGGGCCGAAACTTTTTGTAAAACAAATTTGGGCGTAGACGCTTATATAGGCGAGCTTCCTATATCGAGTTCGATCCATTGAACCCAAAATCTCAGATATGAGAGAGAAGTTTTTCAGAAACCGAAAACAAATATCTGGGTCAAATACTCCCCCACAGACTTTTTCGCAAGCTGTACACAGAAGGGTAAAGTACAAAAAAAGGCAGTTATGCAAGCACGCAGGGTAGTAGGCGCTCTTTTCATTGATACGCCTTTTTTTGAACTTCTTTTGAAATGTTTTCTGAACTAAAACTTTGCTGATGTCAAAAAAAATTCGAATCCGTCTCAAAAAAGTAAAAATAAAACACTATATCAATAAAAAACCCAATAAAAAACCGAAGTTTCAAAATCAGACAGGTAAAATGACACATTCCAGAACTTTCAAAAATAAAATCTATACTTTACAAATTAGGTTGATAAAATTAGTACCAGATCAAAAAAATGATATTTTAAAAAACGGAAAATGAACCGACGAAAACCACGAATCCGAACGATTTATTTGAAAAAACATTTACTGCCCCAAACGGGCCCCACCTATTAACTTGACTACCTCGATAAAGTATTTTTATTTGAAATTTTGAGAAATTGCGCAAGTCTTGAAATTTGGATGGAGAAAAGGGACCCAGACGGATCTTATAAGACTACGCTCGCTTGTGTATACAATGGAATTATCACTAATTGAACGAAGGGAGAGGTCACATTTTACTAAATTGAGGTGAGCCTAGAAGCTATCACCCATTGAGAAAACATAAGATGAAGTTTTCTTCTTACGATAACTGCACATCAAACAAAAAGTTTCAATTTATTTTTTGCCATAGTCAACGTTAAGAGATCATCGCATATCGTATTTTTTCAATCCTGGCATGCTTGCAATTGAAAGGACTTTTAAACAGTTCAATAAAACCAAGAGCATCAAATAAAACAAAAAGAGTGAAACTCGAGTTCTGATCAGATCAGTAGTTTCTCAATCTCATTGCGCACTTTTTCGATCTGTGGCGCGAGTTGGGATCCTTCATTTGAAGTAACACTTGCCGCAATCACACCTCTTGACAGGTTACATGCACGTCCCAACGCCTGCTTGCTTCGGACAAAAACGTAGGGGACGTTTTTATCTTCGCATAGCAGCGGGAGATGCAGCAGGATCTCTAAAGGTTCCCCGTCGGCAGCCAAGACAATCAATTCGGATTGACCCCTGTTGAGAGTTTTTGTGGCCTCATTAGCCCCCTTTCTCAACTGCTTGTAGTTCGAAGCCTGTTGGCATAAGTCCAGAATATGACTGGTTAAGTTAGCTCCCGCAAAAGGGTACGCCTTAGGGTTCACTTTGGGCTCCGATTCAGTTGTCATAATTTTCAGCTGTTTTGAAAATAGGATATTTCAATGCAAGTGCAAAGCTATCTGAAACTACATGGATTCTGACAGCCATCTGACATACTAAGCCTCGGAGAATGGTAGCTTAAGAAGCAAGGCCGCCGCAGACAGTTGGCAAAACGTTTATGATCAGAACTTAGGAAAACAAACAAAAACGCCAGTGTTTAACTTTTTGTGATTTATTTCCTGCGACACAGATGCGAATCGGAGCTTCGCACCACCTGTGATAAAACAAAATCGTAAAAAAAACAGTCGAAAAAATGGAAAATGTTAAAAACTAGGGGAACCAAAACTTTCGTATGCATCGATGAAGGACACCTAGAGCCCAGCTAAAGCGGGAGGTACGTGTTTGATAATTTTTGAACTTGCTAGACAGATGCAGGACGAAATACAAGAATTCAAAAATTAGACTTAGCCCAAAACCTTAATTGCTTGTCTACGAAAAATAAGTAGGAGTAAAGACTTAGTAGATTTTGGAATTTTTCCAAAGACACGACAAAGACAAAAAGACACGACAAAGATTGCGCAAAAAAAATGCGCAAAGATTGCGAAAAAAAGTTTTTCTTACAAAAAATTAAGGAGTAGCTGCTTCTGCAGGAAAAATTCGCGCAACCGCTTCTTTCGATTGAACTTTTCATCTCAGATTTGATAGGGTAGTTTTCAAAAAAAAAATTCAAATAAGTTTCTAAATAACGGTCGAAAATATTACTTAAATAACGCTTTCTCGGAGTAAAACAAGTATTGAGTGTAAGTTAAATTGAAAACTCGAATTATCTGCTTTAAAAAATAACTCAAGTTGATCTTGCAGACTTATGAGATAATTACAGAAACTTAGTATTGAAAACGTTAATCAAGGAAGGATATATTAACCAACTGATTGCTCTGAATGTTCAATTATCATAATGTTCCCGGTCGTTTTTATCCTTAATCTGGGTAAATATTGGTTTCACTTAAATTACGCATTTTCGCACCTTTTCAGCTTTATCTGAGGCTATATAAAGTGAAGTTTCTGCAGTATGACAAGGTATTTGATTGATTTTCAATGTTTTTAATGGGTTGACAGTTCTCAGGAATCATCAATGAGCAATGACTTTGCAAAACAAGTTCAAGTAATGATCTTTAAAAATTTACTAACAAGGAACATTCCGTTTCCCTACAATGTTCCCCTCTTGAAACTCGAGTATTCCACTCACGACGGACCAAATACGGTGGGTCTTTTTGCCAATGATTTCTCCCCATATGAAACATTTTTATCACTTTTAGCACGTTATAAGGGACAATTTTTATTGAGCACTTCCAAACTATGTGTCTCTTTTACGGCGCAACACATCTTTTGCGGCTTCTAGGCCTCTTTTATTGTAAATTTTTCTCGCCTCTTGATCCATGAGAATTTTTCGTGTTTCAACCAGCACCTTGAATTAGTCTTCACTTCCGCCTTTATCGGTTGGCATAGAAGGCAAATACTCTTCAAATGCTTATTGACTGTTTCAGGTGGCGCCAATTCCGGCATCAATAAATTATTAAAGAGGCTGGGAAGGCGGCAAAAGGACTCTGTGCGTCATGTAGACGCAGTCTTCTCCAGAGTAGTTCTTTTGCGAAAGTTTCTGCTTTCAAGTTAGCGTGAAGCTTTTCCTCTCCCTCTGAATTTCAGAGAATATCTTCTTGTACTCGCTATCCAGTGACTCCTTCTCTATTTAGAGAGCTTTCATTTTAAATTTATAGCCTTAAACAGCTCTCTCCATTTGCAGGAGATTCTGTATTTAGTCTACCAGATGGATTAAAGAGAATGTGATAAAAAACCGAGAGTTGAAAGCACCAACCGTGGAGGCGATACATGCAATTGATTATAACAGGAGGCTTGAGTTGTTTGAGACTGCCTGCAAGGTATTCGCTGTACTGATGGAAGTGAAACGTTTCTGGAGTCGCATGTATTTTTTCTCATGGGTGAGGGCAACGTTGAGTTCTTGGTTGTATGTCTTGACGAAAACCCACATAAAGAAACATCAGAAGGAGTATAGTCTGTTCCTGGCCGAAATAGGGCCGGAAGCTTTCAAGAGACCACTTCGTACCCATCGCAACGGAATAACCACGGGATGGATGGAAGCGGGTTGGTAAGGTATCTAGAGATAACACAAAAGCTAGGGATTCGCTACAAGAGGAAGATTTAGCAAAAAATGTGAGCTTGAGCCTACATCACTCCTACTGCTTGAACAGAGAGCCCAAGATGAGTAAGCTACCAAATCATCCCAGAAGATTACAAGAGCAGAAGGAATGGATGCAGCTCTTTGAACAACCGAAGGCATGGGAGGAAATCGTTATTAGTTCTGATGACGAAGAAGAATTGACGAGGCGGATCACGAAGTCAAGCGCATCTGGACCCAGTACTTCAAAGACTGGGGGACGAATTAAGTTGGATACTTTGGATTTATTTTTTTTTCTTGAGGAGGGAAAGGAAATGGGGTTTGAGCATAAACTCGGATTAAACCTGAGGGAACAAAAAGATATTTTAACCTAGAAAATAATGTTAGTTAATATACTACATCTATTATACATCAAATTTTCGCATGACAAATTTCTGACTGGGTTAAACAAAAAAATATTAACCCAGGATGCAATTGGATAAAGATTTTTATTGCTGTTTAGCTATAGAATGAAATTTTTACATGGCTGTGATTTTTGGGGATGTAGATAAGGTTGAATCTGCTGCAAATTTCTGTAAATGACCACTGGCACTGTACCTTGAGACGCACTCAAAATTCTCGAGGCTCACTGACATGACAACGACGCGCGAAGAGGATGACAATCTTAAGCTTAAGTCTGGGGGGTATGTGCCAGTCGGTCATAATTGGAAATGTTATGCTCAAGTTTATTGCGACAACTGAAAATCAGAAGTTAATTCAATCGGAAGACTTGAATCAGAATTGCAGGAAAGTCGGTAAAAATTGTGCTGAAACGATCAATTCGAGTAGAATTGCCTTTTTTCTGACAGAGAGCATCGCGAACTCCTACGAGAGTGCCATCACTGGGCAAGAGAGAACCCTGGTTGGGCAGGCAGACGAGTCAAGCTGCCCATTTGTTCAGTAAACTAAACTTCTTGAGTCAAAACTGTTGTTTACCAAAAAATTCTAGAGTTGCTTTGTTATAATATTTATTTAATTCTAGAGTTGCGTCACTATGTGAGTACTGAATTTAATTTCTTATGTGTGTTTCACACGAGTATGTGGAGATAAGGCGGGTTTTAGGTTGATCCATCGGAACTGGATCATAGGTCCAAATATTGAGAATGCTTTAAATTTGTAAATTCAAACAAACGTTTTCGCACATTTATCTGCATCTTCAGGTTTTATAATTTCTAAACTATCTGTACAAAATGATCAAAGATCATAAAAAGTGTCAAGACAACATTATTTCAAAATTTAAAAAATTCATCCAATCAAAACTTTACAAATATTACTGAAATTATGTGAAAACTATTATGTAACAATTTTAAACATTTTGTCACAAATTTATGTAAGTTTTCATCTTTTTTGTTTTTACAATTTTAATTTGTCGCTAATTTTTATGCTAACAAACTTTTTTTGTTGGCATAAAAATTTGTTAGCATAAAGTAATTTCAAATTTTTTTTTGTTTTAGCCAGATTTTTTCGAGTTTGGAACTATAGCCTTGGTGTCAGCTCCTTACTTCTAATTTCGTCGCGCGCGTTAATTGCCGGTCTTTCTTTCCTAATGTGCATCGCCTCTAATGTAAGTAACTTAATGCTGCTGGACGCCTGGTCGATTATCTTCCATTTAGACTTACCACTCTCACTACCACACTGCCTTATATGCTGTCCATCTGAGGTATCTTCTTTTCGGTGTTCTTCAAACCTTGTGGTGAGATGTGGGACCATCTGATCAATATAGATGGATTTGTACCCACAACCTTCAAATTTGTACACCACTTTTGATTTCAGTTCACTGAAAAAAGAGTATTTTACAGAGTGCATATAAGTTTTCATTTTCCTCGTCGTGAATATTATCTGCGCATTGGTGATATCGCGCATTTTTTTTGCTAAGGACTGACTGTGATTCCCCCTATATTGGACCATCAAGATGGGTGGTGAATCACTGCTATAATCACGGGGCTTCTGTTTCTCAGCCATGTTTTTTTTGCCCTCCCTGATGACCAACTTTCGGATATTGGTTATCCAACCATTGTTCACGGTTGATTTTCATCACTTTATCATATTCTTCCCATGTTGACGTACTGCGGAAAACCCGGTGAAGATTTCCTGCAATCACACTTCTCTTGTACTGAAGGGGCGCAGTTTCAAAAATTTAGTATGGTACTTCTATCTGTTGGTTTTTGATACCACCCACAGTTAATTTTCTTGCTTTTGTCAATACTAATTTGTAAATTCAAAAATGCCCATTTCCCGTTTGTGTTCGGTGTTTCTATTGTTAGCTGTAAATTTGAATCTAGTAATTTTGCAGCCCATAGCGCCTTTTCAGGATCACCCTTCACTGTTCTCACTATATCGTCAACGTAACGGAAAAATAACTTAGCTTGCTGCACTGACTTATTTTTCTCTCTAATCGCGATGCATTTTTTACAGTACCAGACGGTTTCACTTATATTTCGATACTCATCATCTAATATATCACCGCATTTAATGTGATACCAGTTCAAACAGCATTCACATTCTACTCTTTTTGACCTGTACGTGACTTTCTTATTGCACTCGGGACATATTCCGTTAAGAACTTTTTTCGGGCAAAATCATTTCGGGAATATCCCTCGATAGTGCAGTTCGTACTGCTTCAGTCAAAGATTTGATAAAATAACGGCAAGAGATGCCCCCATTGCCAAACCATTTTTCTGAACGTACCATGTTTCATTGCACTTGAAATGGACTTGACTAACTGCCATGTTCATCTGTCTCTTCATGGTTTTCCTAGAAATTGATGGTGGTTCATCTTGCTCAGTTTTCTCAGAG